ATCCCGCCATAAGTACCTTTCACAGGGCAAGTAAGTTTTCATAAGCTACTTTGTAGTCACTTTGTTGGCACCGTCCAGACGTTGACCAAAACTTTGTATTACGGGTCAGCTTCTGTGATCGGAACTTCAGGGGTAGAATGAAAAACATGACTCATTTCTCGAGGGGATTGGTTGTGGCAGCGTGGAGAGCCAGAGAATATCACACCCAGGAGGGGAAACTTTTAACGTGGCTAAAAAGACTTAGGGAAAGAATTTGTATTCATAGTTTAATAAATCTTCATCAATTTAGCTAGATTCAATCAAGCCAGAAAGAATTCCAGACACACCTAGAATCAGTAGTGCTTTTCGGCTTGATTGATTTCTATCCTATTCACCCTGCAAGAAAGGTGGGAAAATAGCAAAAATCCCTCATTGTTTCCTGATACCTTTTAGGCAAGGTACAAACATTTGCTTTACAATGTGCTTTTGTGCACCTTCAATACCCCAAAAATCAATTATGGTTGATTCAGCACCTAACTGATGTTCTTTTCAGACACCTTTCTTGCATGGTGAATAGGATAGAAATCAATCAAGCTGAAAAGCACTACTAATTCTAGGTGTGTCTGGAATCCTTTCTGGCTTGATTGAATCTAGCTAAATCAATGAAGATTTATCAAACTATGAATACAAATTCTTTTCCTAGGTCTTTTTAGCCACGTTAAAAGTTTCCCATCCTGGGTGTGTATTCTCAGACCCATTTTTGTGCTTGTCTATGTTTCGCCGCCAAGTTGATCTGGTGTGTATGATTGGAAAAGGTGAGAGTCTTGGAGTGAAAAGCAGGCATCTGTGTCTGAAACAGACTTAGCTTTCTTCCAGTCATCTTTTGAAGCTGTACTTGCAGAATCCAGCAGCTATCTGCTGCCGATACTGGCAATACATTCTAAGTCTTAGCGTGTGTTTGGGTGGATATTTGTGATATCCTGTGTTCAGATACCATGGTGATATATGAGGTGTCGACAGTGGTGATATCACACCGGCAAAAATGAATATTCAGCTCAGCTGAACATGTTGCCGAAAATCATCCTTTTGGGTGCAAATAAATGTGGCTGAAAATGTAGGCAAAAACAACAATTTCAGCAAAGGTGAATGAGTTGCCAAAATCATGAAATTCAGTAGCATTTTCTGCAATCCATTCGTAACAGTTTAGGCTTTATGTCCAAAAATGAGGCCTAAAATAATGGAATCAGCAGCAAATTCAGTTTGAGTAAAAATAACAATTTCTGTGCTGTCAAAACTGTAGCTGAAAAGGTCTATTCCAGCTGCACTTTCAGCCACATCGAAACAATAAGATTCAGCAATGCCAAAACAGCAGGTGAAAACAATAGTCTCGGCAACAGTTTGGGTGCAACTGAAATGACGGCCGAATCTTATTGTTTCGGCCTGTGCCGAAAGTCAAACCCAAAGTGTTTTTTTCAGCTTGACTTGAGGTATCTGTCACATGTGATACCTAAGGTGGCCCCCCGTCGGATATTCTCGGATATCAGCGGACAGTTTTTGATATGAGTGGATACCAGAAAACGCAGTGACTGGGGCAAACCCAAGCTACTCCCATCATGCTGCTATCCCCGCAAACAAGATGTGATCCACCGTTACAGTCATCCCTTCCTCCCCATTCAGTGCCCGGCAATGTCGTTTGTGTATATATATATACTGGTGGCTCGAATTGGGATACCAGATTAGGATGCTTGGGTTAGTGCAAGTTTCTCTGCGTTGGGTGCTGAAGTTCTATTTCCATTCATCAGACGGAAGGATAATGGAGCCCAGGACACTTGAGTCAAGATCACCCATTTTTTTGTTGCTCGTAGAACACGGCCGAAATTGAAACACCCAGTTTTGGGGTAGACTTGTAACCGATTGCGCAGCATCCACGGCACATCCAGCCGTCTTTCCAGCATCCACGCGAATTGAGAGAGCCAGAAGGATGGGATGCAAAGTTTTTGATGAGTATGTATGGCCTTTGAGGAAACCAGTATGCATTGCGCGGCGTGCGTCAGGAGCGATGCTGGGAGGCAGAAATTCATGTTTGACTCCAGAGTTCAACACCTCATAGAGAGTATCAGAGTGGGGAAGCAGCTGAGGGCTGAAAGGCATGGATGGGGTGATTCAAACTTGTGAGTCAGAAGGCATAACTCACGCACCATAGTAGTTCCTTCACGTCTCCTCCTACCGCATGAGCCAATAATATAGCACGATTCTTAACGCGGATGGTGAGGACGGTGAGCAATGAGAGCATTGTGGAGGATTGGAACATTGTGGACGAGCAGAGATGTTAGCAGTACAAGTTCAAGGATGTGGAAGAGGATGGGATATGCATGGGATTTGAATCATCATTTCAGTCTCCTCTGCTGCACCGCACGTGGAGGACGTGGCACCGATGCAGAGTGACGAGTGATGGACGCAAGGGAGGTGCCGATGGAGGGAGAGGGAGGGTCAATGTGACGAGGGCTACAGACTGAACTGGATGAAGGATGTGATGACTGACTGGAGCCTTACTGTATGTCTTCCGCTTATATCTTGAGCTATTGCTAACTATTATGCGGGTACATCACAGCCACCAGTTGCACGTCATTACATCTTGTACTTGCGGGCAACGGGTGTATACTTTCTTTGTTCAAAGACCGCCAAGTATGTCTACGTTGTTTGTTTGTGCTGCATGTGACCTGTTTCCAAACCATTACACCTGTGGCCCTCATTTGCTTCAACAGCTCAGGACCTTGCCAGCACGTCTCGTTGTGTGCTGTGAGCTGGCTCCATGCACTGACTCCAGAAACTCATAATATTCCCCACACCAACGGAAACGACTGGCGGAGAAGTAGATATCCCCTTACTACAACAAGCATATTCAGAACATTAAAAAGAGACGGCGCCGCCAGGAGTTGAACCTGGGACATCCGCGAAACAATTCATTGTGCATCAAGTAAGCCGCGGTGCAACACCCTATGCTACGGCACCAATGATAAGCTGCCAAGCCTGAAAATGCATTAAATGTATATTTCTGCGCTGCTTTACATATCTAATGTGTACATGTCTGCGAGCTGGAGTGAGGCTGGCTAAAGGATGCACTGAGGAAGCTAGTAGACTTGCCAAACCACCGATACCACGAGGGTCAACGGTTTGGGAAGCTGCAAGTGACTTTAGCTAAAATTGGTGTCCAACCATTCAATTGAATTGGGACATACCATGGCATACCACATATCAAGGGCATCCAATACCATCCATCTAGATGAGGAGTCAATCCAGGTTGCAGGTCAAATCAAGTTGGCAGAGTCATTGGTGCAGTTGTGGGCACAAGTTCGATATTTGTGACATGTTTGGTCACTGTGACTATAATCACATGAGCCTAGACGCCTCGGAGGGCTCAGAATCATTCGGAGACATTCAGGTTCGGTTCGGGGACAGTGGGACACCCTAACCCTCAAAGATTGACATGTGCATGTGGGTTTTGTTAGGCTATCAAGAATATTTGGATGACTGAGCAGGCATGTGATATTTTGGATGAATAAGCACACAGCCAATTGGTCCGAATCAATTAGGGCCAAGAATAGGTGTGGAGGCGTCCCAAAGAAGGGACGAGAGTCATAGCAATTGTGTCTGCCATCAGTTCTTTCAGTTTAACAACATTATATTTATCTTTCTCATCAAAATTATCGTTATCATTGTATGGACCCATGCAACCTAATTAGGAACCCTTTGATAGCCAAGTAGTATAAATACAGTAGCTAGGGATGTCTTTCGACACGGGATCTGGCCCCTCCTTTCTGGCTATTGGTCAAACAACTGACAGTTAGAAGGTAGGTGTAGTGTCTTGGCTGTGGGCTCAATAATTGATTGTGTGGTTGTTGTATTGTTGTTTTCTCAAGCCGCACCTGGCAAAGCGCCTAAATAAGCTTAAGAGGACCACAATTCGGCTAATAGGTCTCGGCTATAACCTCTGGTTGCCTTGGATTTGCTATTAAACTACGAGTCTTTTGGTGTTGTACTTTAGCTAAAGTCCTTGGAAGCGGTTCTCTGCATGGATTGCTTGTCACATCGGTACCCTTACCTTATATATCAATCATAACACGGAAACGGTATCTTATATAAAGATAATACCAATGGGTTTCATATCGGGTCATATCGGGTCATATCAGGGTTTCATATCGGACAAACAGTTAAAGGACATTAGCAACGGGCTATAGAAACATCATCAGATTTGAAGGGACTTGTTACTCTCTGAGTTTCAGTCGTATTGGCAAAGAGTCAGTTATTATCATTGGAATACAAGGACTACATCGCTTATAGTGAACCACACCGCATAAAAACACACCCCATTGAATATAAACATGTTCCTATCGTCTGAGACCTCTCTTTGAGTGCCTAGAAGATCAGTAAATGAGTCAGCATTTGTTATTGGCCAAGAAACTTTGATTTCTGAGCCAATAATTGTAGTGTGTTCAAATTGCAACAGTCTAATACTTGGTTGGAATTCCCCAACTTGTGCGATCAATGACAAGGGCCTTACCATAAAGTGTTTTGTGAAGTTAGTTGGGTTGTGTTCAAGTTTTGGTTTGGTTTTGGTTGATTTATCAATTAAGATTTGGTAGCTATTCACTTGTTTGCATAGCTTAGCACTTCATTTTCACGCTTGCCCACGTGTTGATTGTTTCACCGATATGCGGATGGGCACAGAGGTTGTCTTGAAGAACACATTCTGTCAACGATAAAAGCATGGAAACACTGTTAGGTTGCCAATTCAGCCCTTCCGCCGTTTGAAGAACACGTTCTGTTGACTTCTGCACCTTGAATACCGGAATTCTGTCAACGATAAAAGCATGGAAACACTGTAAGGTCGACTTCCACTGCTTGGAAAACCCATTCTGCCACTTGAAAGGTCTATTTGCCGATACTGAACGAGAAACAACCACAGAATTGCAGTGGAAAACAAGTATCAGAAAAGTAAAAACCAAATCGTTCAAGACAGACGGCCCCACCAGGAATCAAACCTGGAGTCTCTGCAGAAATCATTGGTCTCAACAGAGGCATCCGCAGCGCGTTAACCCTTACACTACAGAACCGATACAGAGACGGAAACAAAGGATCATTCTCCAAATTATAAATCCCCTCTGACTAAAACCACGCACACATGGATCAATTCCGCCGCGAGGGAATGCATGGCAAAATCCCGTCCAGTAATAACAAATGACCGACAGGATTTACGGCAGCGGAATCTCGAACCTGGCACTATTGAAGAAGGCAGGACCATCGGAATGTGATTCCACTAAGCGGAAATTGCCTGAACGGGAAGATATAACTGATGGCTGAACCACAATATCCTTAACGGGTTGATAACCAAAGGTTAACATCGAGGAGAGTCCGATTCCGTGAAGGGCTTGTGTTCCACCATGAAAAAGAGGGAATTCTGCTGGCGGAAGTATGACACAGGTATGCTGTGTCAAACTACCACCACGAGGGTCCACTGGCAACGGTTCCGCCGGCTCTGCCAAACTGTTTCACGTGCAACGGAGTCAGCGGAGGCTCAACATGACTCCTGGGACGGCAGTGCACTGGGCTCCGCTGGGGTATAAATATGAAGTAGAATTTGTAGTAACGGTATCTAGTTCTCCCCTTGCAGTCTAGGCATTTAAAACCGCTCTAGAATGGAAGGGAACAGTCAACGCAAAGAACCTAAGGTCACCGAGACCGAAGGGAACACCTTTCCTTCCCTTCCGCCTCACTCCGCTGCCATTTCCTCGCAGCAGAGACACTTATACCCCACCCTTATTCGATATTTGCCTCCTCTGTTGCCGTATAGGCCCAAGCGGAGCAGAACTCCCACTACGAATGACACCGCAGACTTCATTGTATTTGTGTGTAGCTGTTAAAACCCCGTCAGGACACCTGGTCCTACAGTAGAGCAGGAGAACAATGGCACACCATTCAAGAAGCTTTCAAGAGGAGCGGACTCTTTGACGGAAAAAGGGAATTCTCCATAGAGGCAGAAGAAAGGAATAAAGCAGAGAGGGATTGTGCAGAATAACAACAATTGCAGCGGACCCGCCCTACATTTGTGTTTGGTAACACTCCAAAGTCGGCAAATACGATGGCGGAGACTTGAAACAGGATCAACATACCCCAGACTAGCGCCAGCGCTTCCCTCCGCATCACATCACGACCAACCTCTCTTGTTCCTGAGTGTAGAACGGAGAAGCAACGCTACTGGAAGGCTTTTCTCTCCCACAGGGAAGGAATCAGCAACCTTAGGATTCCTCCATTGCGAGACGGAGTAGTTTGTACACCACCACACTTATAAAACACGAATTCCGCGGCCGTTGAGAGACTTCAGACATACAAATTTCCCCCTAGAGGACCAACTGCTGAGTCTGCCAAGCAACAAACCGACTTGCCAGCAGTAGCACCGCAGTCCGAATCGCAGCGCCGTCTTCCGCACACCAAAGTTTGAGCCTCCGCTCACCCTCCGCCCTTCTCGAGCATATATTGTTCACGCCTTGGTCATTATGAGCAAGGGGGTACCGTTCAGTGAATATATGCCGGTTTTTGTTTTTCCAACCCCACCAACCGACCACGTCATACCATGTGACTCCCAAATAAGGTGATTATTCACGTGGGTGGTTGCCGAACCAACCATTCCTCCCTCAACCAGACCAATTTTACTTCTCTAGGAGTCCCAGAGCCAGTTCAAGGCCAGAGTTAGACTTTCAACACTGTCAGACGGAACTTCTGAAGATAAGCAGACTTTTCTTCGGGGATGCTTGCGTGTGTCGTGCCGGGGCTCCTTCCATATACGGAAATAATCTCTTAGGAGGGACCTAAGCCGGTTTCTGAGTAAGGAAAACCATTTTTTTGAGTGTTTTCAGCCATAAATCATTGTCCTGACTGGTTGTCTGCTCGAAAATCTATGGTACTGGAAAATGTTTTTCTGGACCCGCCGACCCAACCAACCAGCACCCGGTCCGGCATTCATGGACCGGTACCCCCTTGGTTATGAGTAATGATTCCTAGACCTAGTAGTTGATAAAGTCTGCAAATGCTGCCTTAAAAAGTGGTGTGTACTGTAAGGATCGGTTCATTATGCCAAATCGAAGGGTGTAGGGAGCTATATGCATTTTTTTTTGTGGTACAGAGGTGCGTGGATGGGCGGGGCTGGCTGCCGGAGGCGTGTGAAACACCTACCTGAAATGGACATCCCCTTGTATAGAGGGTCCCCGATTTCACTGAGGAAAAACTTGGGGTAGTGTGGATTTCGTAGATCGGTATCCCCTTTCTCGGCGCGTCTTGACTCCCTCACAGGCAGGTGCAGACGTTCAGCTCCTCTGGAAACCATCCAGTAGACTACCAAACTTCCACCTCAATTTTCCATCCCCGACAAGCATAGGCTCATTGATCTGATCACATTCTATGGGTAAATTACGAGTACTTGTGTAATAAGTTCTCGTTCTTTTCTAAAGTTTACATGGCCGTTTCACTAGCTGAGTGAATTATCAGTTACAATTTTATAGTACAAGGAAAATAGTGGCTGTGTTGAAAGGTTTTTCAGAGACTCCATTAGAATTTTTGTGACTGCATAGTGGCTGTGCTATCGGTGAATGCCGAGCGTACTTCTGACGTCCACAGGTGTTGGTTCGAACCTGATGATTGGATTCCTTTTTTCGGTTGGTCTTTTTTTTTTATAGCTAATTATTACCTCTAAAAATTGAGACCAACTTGTCCAGACACTGGGGTAGCTACAATATCTCATCAGCTTATTTTTCAAGACCATTTGATCTCAGAAATAATCACGTCAAACTATATTCTCTCTCTTCTCTGGTACTACCCTCAACTGGGATTCCCTGGGGCCCACATGATCTCCAGTAGCTTGCAATGAAGAGTCTGGGGCATTTTGTTACTTTTATCCTTTGATTTGTTCTGGCTGCCTGGCATTGGATCACTGTCACTGTCATTAGGCCCTGTTCGGGATCCCAAATTACTAAATAGATGAACTTTTAGTTTTTATATATCTACGTCCAAAAAGAGTATCCCGTAGCTCAGCTATCTACACGTGTAGTCACAGTGTGACCTAAAGCTGTGCATTAATTAGCACACCTTTATCGCGTGTTTCTCCAGTTCCTCGACGTGTTTTGAGGCATCTCACCTTGAGCCAACAATACAATGGCCCCTCTCCGCCCAATTACTGTCAAAAAGAAGACTCTTCCCGTCCATATTCTCCATCGAAACAAGGTTCGCAAGGCATTGGCTGTGACTGCTGCTGCTGCAGCCACCGCTGTTGTCACTGCCTGTGGATCTGCGGAGAAGCAGCCGATGCACACATCATGGCAAACTGGACAACGCTGGATTGATGAGCTCCGCGAAGGTGTGTGAGATTTTAAACTGTATCAGCCGTGATTTACTGTCAATTAAATTCCAGGACATCCTGATCGATTCCGACGTGCATTCGGCATGGGTCACCATGTATTCCTGAAGCTGGTACAGGCCCTACGCTTGAAGTCTGGCTTAACCCCTACGAAGCATGTCTCAAGTGAGGAGCAGGTTGCAATCTTTCTTCGCATTGCTGTCACTGGCCTTGGAAATCGGGAGCACCAGGAACGTTTCCAGCGAAGTGGTGAAACTATCTCCAAGTATGTGGCCCTTCAGCATCTCTGGTCTAACTAATTGTTCCCTCAAGATGCTTCCACCGGATTTTAAACATGCTTGTCAACCCTTCCTTTTACTCTGCATATGTCAAGCTTCCCCTTGCCGACGAGATCCCGCCCGAAATTCGAGGAAACCCCCACTATTACCCGTTTTTCAAGGAGCGGTCGATGGTTCCCTCCTCGATGGTTTTGTATCCATGGTTGACATGGCTCGATATCGCAGTCGCAAAGGTCGCATCTCCCAGAACATATTCGCTGCATGCCGCTTCAATATGTTGTTTTGTTATCTACTCACTGGGTGGGAAGGAAGTGCTGCAGATGGAAGGGTCTTTCATGATGCTCGTCGAAAGGGCTTTGCGATAGTACCCGGTACCTATTATCTTGGTGATGCAGGCTTCCCAGTCTGTGATGCACTGCTTGTGCCATATCGCGGAGTGCGGTACCATTTGCAAGAGTGGAGGAAGTCCGGAAACCCAAGGTACCTTATCTATCCATCCTTCGTGAATCCTGATCTAACCTGGTTTTCTCCAGGCCTGCAAATCCGAAGGAACTCTTCAATCTACGCCATGCACGGCTTCGTAACATTATTGAGAGAATCTTTGGAGTTTCAAAGCGGCGATTCCGACTTATGAATGTTGCACCTGAATATTCGGCAGAGACTCAAGCCAAGATCCCTTGCGCATTGGCAGCACTACACAACTTTATTCGAATCATAGACCCTGACGACTACTCAGACGATGGGCCAGGACATGGCGGTCCACGCAACAACACATTCACTTTGCGCGAGATTGATGGAGATGAACGGCGGGAGTTCCCTGAGGAGGAGCTTGGTCGTTTTGTCTCGCCCAACGAAAAAGCGCGTGCAGAGGCTTTTCGCGATCAGATTGCGCAGGAGATATGGGACCAGTATATATTAGATGATTTGGATGATGATGACGAGTAGGTAGAATATGGTAGCAAGCGGTGAAGTTATAAAGAAATATACACAAATTATACAAGAAGAATAGACTGAAATTAACCTTGTAATTCAGTACGTAGATAGTCAATACCAAGTTCGGGATTAACCTCGTAAAAAGCCATGAATGTATCTGCAACTCCGGTATCAGCACGAATAAGCTGACCAATCCGACTTTTCTGCTCCATTGTGAAGTCGAGCATGGCGGCAATGATCTTGATTGCATCTGTCTTGCGTTTCGGAGATGCGGGACCGGATGAGTCCGCTTTGAACGCCGCCGCGATGCCCTGTAGCGACTCAGATACTGCCATCAGTGCATGGCCGTTGCTGGGCTTGCGGCCATGTCCATCACTCCGACGGCGTTTGGTAGGCTCGGGAGGGCTGTCGGACATGGAACGGACACGTTTGCGAGATAGCGGAGTCTAGAGAACGGGTTTACAAGAGAAAAGACATTAATAGGGATGAAGAACGT